TGGCTGCAGCTTAAGATCATGTCTTAAAATCACAGCCTTTTTCGGAACCAAACAGGACAAACAACTACGATCGATCTGCTGTTTTAGACTAATAATGTCTTTATTACTAAAAAAGACTACATGTAAATATAATCTAATGTACAGGATGAATTGAAATTCTTGAAATCATTCCAGTTTTGAATGACATAATGTAAATTTATGCCCCATCCTTCCCCCCCCCTCGCCTCCCCTTTCGATATTGGCAGTTCGGCGCGTGATCATCCATGAACTTGGAAAGGAAAGGTCATGAAATCAATATGAGCGGTGAGGCTGAACTACGTGAAAAGGTGTGTGTCAGACACCCACGCCGCTACCGTACTTAGTTTTCTATAAAACCTGTCCGAGCTCACTTTGGCGATGCAATCGAAAGGAGACAAAGCTGAGTACGGACGAGTTGCTTAGATTCGTCTATGTTCGAGATGAAGAACTTTTTAGTCTTGGTAGTAATTCTTGCTCTTGTGAGTTGCGTCCTAAACCGCCCCGTTCGTCGACAGCGAGGTCTTGGAAAGAAGAATATGATGAATTGGGTAAGAAGGAAGGAACATGTATAGAACTGAATTTTGAGAAGATTTCTTTACCTCATATAATTATGAGCTGTAAGAGGCTAGCGTGCCCGACCATCGAGAAACGAAATGTAGAGATATCAAAATTGAAGGGAACATAAATACTGAGTGTTTTATTTGAATGGTCGGCTACCTGATATTACAATATTCATAATACATGTAGTCTGAAAGGGTGAAAGATAAATTATTGAGTCAATAACAGTAATCGAAGTGGAACTTGCGAACGAGGCGCCTAAAAATTCTTTTTCGGCTGTCGTCCAAAATAAATGTAGCTTAGATAGAGTATCACAAAGTTTCGGCAGTGCAATAGTTTGAACTTCAACGAGAAAAATCTCGCGAAACATAAACCACTTGATTCTTTACACGCTTTTTATTAAATTCAGATTTGCGCTCTAACCAACTGTGTCTATTTCTTTTTAGGTAAAGAAATACATGAATATGTATGGCTACCTCAATTCAAGTGAAATGGCCTTGGTAAAAGATGAAAATTCTCCCATGTTTAAAAAAGCAATGATGAGGCTCCAACGATTTGGACATGTTCCAATGACAGGAAATATCGATACAGAAACAATGAAGTTACTCAACAAGTCAAGATGTGGAGTGCAGGACCCAGACCTAACAGGAAGAACTAAAAGAAATGTGGGAGAATTCAATTTGCAGGGAAGCATTTGGAGGAAGAAGGTAATATTATATGAAGGGTATTTCATGGCTGGTCATGTAAACGGGCGAGATGAAACGAATCTTGTGATGTAAATTCCATAAAGATAAATATATATAGATATATAGATGAAAAAAAAAATCAGTATATAAATAATGAATGAGGAGTGATTGCTTGTGAAATGCTCATAGCCCATACTTTCCAATTTCCGGGCAACTAACTTAAACGAGAAACAAATTTTCGATTTTAAAACGAACGGGCTGCACATGATTAATAGCACTGGTGTGTCTCGTTTAACAAACTCAAGCAATATCAGATATTTTTTAGGTAACCTTTCTATATAATCAATGCAGCATATTTGTGATATTCTTACCATTGAAAGCAAAACCGTCAGCCGCATTCACCACTGATGCAGATTTCAAAAGCTTGTTTATTGGCAAAAAAAATGTAAACTGTTCTTCCTACTTAATAATCTGGTATAGTATGGATTGGTATCTTTCTGATTTAATTTATATTATCTTGGAGTAAAGGAGAATTGGCGCCACATCTAAATAACACGTCTTACCTCATGAGTTAGCTTCTTCCTATTACTAGCCCAATTGTTGCCCAATGGATATCACGAGGAGATGTTACATCTCAATCATTTCTGGTAATTTCAAGCAACATCTTTTTCAAACAGTATTTGATACAGTATTTGATACAGTATTTGATACATGGGTTCTCGAGAATTTAGAGTCCATTATAAGAGGCATTACCCGTGCGTAAATCGAACAATTGAATAATTCAGGATTTAATAATGAATCGTTTCTTATCTTTTCTTGCTTGTTATCGTTGTAGGATCTGACCTATAGAATCGACAATTTCGCAAACGACCCAATACTTCCAGAGACACAGAGACAGATATTCCGTAAAGCTTTAGACTTGTGGCAATCTGCTTCAACATTACGATTCACAGAGGTACCGAAATCGGATGATGCGGACATCATTATAAGTTACGACATCAGGGATCATGGCGACGGATTCCCATTTGACGGACCTGGGGGGACACTGGCTCATGCATTCTTCCCATCCAACAATCGAGGTCAGGTGCATTCCAGGGGGGGGGGGGGGGGGGAGAGAATGTGTAAAAGTAGAAAAGTGATTAATTTAGACGTGAATAGGTTTAATCAGAGGGTTTAAAATTTGCAGCAGTCGAAAGACTATTTCTGAGTTAGTTCGGAGATTTTGTGGACATTTCGCTTTGATCTTTTTGCACGATAGTAATGTGAGGACACTTTTGAGCAGTTTGATAGATATAAAGGACAGGTCACTATCTATCACGTGGGTGGGGTAAGGAGAATTTTAGGGATCACATAGTTTTCACGGAGAACGGAGGTGGGGTCAGTCGTCGCTAACTGACTATAAATGGGTGGGGGGTATAGAAAATTGACTACTGATGGGGGGAGGGATCATTATAGTAGTGCAGAGCCTTTGGAGGATCAGGTAAATGTTAAAGTGACAACAAAAATCCACCGACCCCTGAGAGATAAATAATGGCCGATTTTTAAGAAGTACGTTGAGGTCATGAGGACTTAAAGAGATTGTTGTAACGGAAATGTCTTGTGTAGCTCTTGCTACTTCACTAATATGAATTTTCCAAACTATGTTGCTGTTAATTCCAGTCAATTAATTTATGAGTGCTGTAAAACAGTCCCATTGTGCTGCAGTTTTCTGATGACACTACTTCTTACATTAAGGTCTATCTGGTG